TACCATTGTGATACTGTACCGTGTGATGCTGTACCGTGTGATGCTGTACCTGTGTGATGCTGTACCTGTGTGATGCTGTACCTGTGTGATGCTGTACCTGTGTGATGCTGTACCTGTGTGATGCTGTACCTGTGATGCTGTACCTATGTGATGCTGTACCTGTGTGATGCTGTACCTATGTGATGCTGTACCGTGTAATGCTGTACCTATGTGATGCTGTACCTATGTGATGTTGTACCTGTGTGATGTTGTACCTATGTGATGCTGTACCTGTGTGATGCTGTACCTGTGTGATGCTACCTGTGTGATGCTGTACCGTGTGATGCTGTACCTATGTGATGCTTACTGTGATGCTGTACCTGTGTGATGCTAAAATTACTGTGATGCTGTACCATTGTGATGCTGTACCATTGTGATGCTGTACCTGTGTGATGCTGTACCTGTAAGGGGCCCAACCAGCCATCTTGACGTGCGTGGTTGTATGTGGCGTGAGGTAGGAGGGTCAACGGGTGCCTCCTCCTCCTCCTCCCTGTCAGACTGTGTGAGAGGATTCCTGCCATTTTTCTGTCTCCTGCTGCCACGTCTTAGGTGTGCCTGTGGTCGCTACTGTCTCGGGGGGCGGGAGGGAGGAAGGAAGGAGGAAGTGGTAGGAGGGGTGAGGGATGATGGAGGGAGAAAGAAGGAGGTGAGGAGGGAAGTGGTAGAGGGGTGAGGGATGATGGAGGGAGAAAGAAGGAGGTGAGGAGGGAAGTGGTAGGAGGGGTGAGGGATGATGGAGGGAGGAGAAGGAGGTGAGGAGGGAAGTGGTAGGAGGGGTGAGGGATGATGGAGGGAGAAAGAAGGAGGTAAGGAGGGAAGTGGTAGGAGGAGGGATGATGGAGGGAGGAGAAGGAGGTGAGGAGGGAAGGGTAGGAGGGGTGAGGGATGATGGAGGAGAAAGAAGGAGGAGGAGGGAAGTGGTAGGAGGGGTGAGGGATGATGGAGGGGAGAAGGTAAGGAGGAAGTGGTAGGAGGGGGTGAGGGATGATGGAGGGAGAAAGAAGGAGGTGAGGAGGGAAGTGGTGGAGGGGTGAGGGATGATGGAGGGAGAAAGAAGGAGGTGAGGGAGGGAAGTGGTAGGAGGGGTGAGGGATGATGGAGGAGAAAGAAGGAGGTAAGGAGGGAAGGGTAGGAGGGTGAGGGATAGGAGGGAGAAAGAAGGAGGTAAGGAGGGAAGTGGTAGGAGGGGTGAGGGATGATGGAGGGAGAAAGAAGGAGGTGAGGAGGGAAGTGGTAGGAGGGGTGAGGGATGATGGAGGAGAAAGAAGGAGGTAAGGAGGGAAGTGGTAGGAGGTGAGGGAGATGGAGGGAGAAAGAAGGAGGTAAGGGAGGAAGTGGTAGAGGGTGGGAGGGGATGATGGAGGGGAGAAGAAGGAAGGAGGGAAGTGGTAGGAGGGGTGAGGATGATGGAGGAGAAAGAAGGAGGTAAGGAGGGTAGGAGGGGTGAGGGATGATGGAGGAAAGAAGGAGGTAAGGAAGTGTAGGGGTAGGGATGATGGAGGAGAAAGAAGGAGGTAAGGAGGAAGTGGTAGGAGGGGTGAGGATGATGGAGGGAGGAGAAGGTAAGGGAGGGGTGGTAGGAGGGGTGAGGGAGATGGAGGAGAAAGAAGGAGGTAAGGAGGGTGTAGGGGGTGGAGGGATGATGGAGGGAGGAGAAGGAGGAGGAGGAAGGTAGGAGGGGTGAGGGATGATGGAGGAGGAGAAGGAGGTGAGGAGGAAGTGTAGGAAGGATGATGGAGGGAGGAAGGAGAGGAGGAGGGGAGGGGATGATGGAGGGAGGAGAAGGGAGGAGGGAAGGGAGGGGTGGGGAGGGGATGGAGGGGAGGAGAAGGAGGTGAGGAGGGAAGTGGTAGGAGGGGAGAGGGATGAGGAGGGAGGAGAAGGAGAGGGGAGGGTGGTAGGGAGGGGTGAGGGATGATGGAGGGAGGAAGGGAGGTAAGGGAGGGGTGGTAGGAGGGTGGAGGGGATGAAGGAGAAAGAAGGAGGTGGGGTGGAGGGAAGTGGTAGGAGGGGGTGAGGATGATGGAGGGGAGGAAGAGAAGGGTAAGGGGAGGGGTGGGTAGGGAGGGGTGAGGAGGATGGGAGGGGAGGAGAAGGGAGGTAAGGGAGGGGGGAGAGGGAGAGGATGGGATGGAGGGAGGAGAAGGAGGGGAGGAGGGAAGTGGTAGGAGGGGTGAGGGATGATGGAGGAGAAAGAAGGAGGTGAAGGAGGGAAGTGGTAGGAGGGGTGGAGGATGATGAGGGAGGAAGAAGGAGTAAGGAGGAAGTGGTAGGAGGGGTGAGGGGAAGGAGGGAGGAGGAAGGTGAGGAGGGAAGGGGGAGGGGAGGATAGGAGGAGAAAGAAGGAGGTAAGGAGGGAGAGGGAGGGGTGAGGGGATGATGGAGGGAGAAGAAGGAGGTGGGAGGGCAGGAGGGGGAGGGATGATGGGAGGAGGAAGAAGGGGGTAAGGGAGGTAGGAGG